AAAAAAAAAAAAAAAAAACAGAAAACAAAAACAACACTGAACTGTTTCTTCCAGTCTTAATCTTATTTGTCAACTCCTTTTACACCAGGTTGGGCAGTAACCTTCAGCAAAAATACTAGAATAATTCTCTAAGAAACACATCAATAATTACTTTCTTGTTTTCAAGGTTCTTCCATTCTCACTTTCAAACAAACAAAGGTTTTATAATGTCCTCACATCCCAAAGAATGACATCTGAGAAACCTCCAACAGAAATTTATTTTTGATGTATTCCATCTTCCGTTTCCAAGAGCATCCAAAAGCAAACGAATCCTCCTTCTCATTCCTTTCAATTACAGTGAGATCTGTCTTCTAATTGATGAAATTTGTACCTAGTTCGGGAAACTTCCCTTTTGAAGGAGTCTCCTCATGCAAAGTTTTTGATGTAGTCAAGTTCCTGAGCGGAAAAGTTTGGCTATCAGATTCAGAAGTTTCTGCTGGAAATGCAGTTTGTCTCCAAGTCTCCTGAGTTGAAGGGCACACTCCTCTTCGATCTCTGAGAAAGAAAGCAAAACACCAAACTTATCATTGGGTCAAATACTACAAAGAGTAATGTTAGCCTTTACCTGCCTCCGGTGATGTCATCCTTTTCTCCCTCATTTAAGGCCAGGGAACAGAAGTCAAATTCTAAACGTGTGGTTTTTAAGTAGGAGCTGGTTTTTAAACAGTAATAATTCAAACCTTAAATTATACTCTCATTAATAGGCAAATCTAAATTTATTCTTTTCCTCATTAAAAATCCCATTGATAGTTTCTCATAAAAGCCTCAAAATTTATTCTAAAATTAAATCCACATTCTCTATTTACATCTTAATGTAAACCAGCTTCTTCCTATAAGCCCAATCTGTACCAATCCATTGCCTTTATGCAAATCAGTGAAGTAAAAAATAAAGTTTACTTCACATATTTAGTACTTTCTAGAATTGAAGTACTCTTAACTGAATATTATTTTTAAAAAATAACGCTGTAATCCAACTTCCAAGTAAACTTTTTTCAGTAAATGCAACTAACACTAAATCTATACTGACTATAAGCTGAATGTTTTTGAATATTTCAAACTGCAACTTAAGGGCTTTTTGGTCCACTTTGTGATAATAAACATTAAAGAGCATTATGATGACAAATTAAAACCTGGTGTTTTTTTTTTTTTTTGGCTAGTCAAGTGAAGCAGTGGAACTGGAGAAGGAACAAAGGAATCTGTAACTAGTTGTGATCAATTAGTTGTAAACACCACTTCACTTGGACCAGCTATTTTGTAAATAGACCATGAAAAGACCATATTTAGGCTCAAAATAAATGAAAACCGTAAATATATAGTAAAGCAAAAAACTTTTTTTGAGATATGGTCTCACTCTATTGCCCAGGCTAGAGTGTAGTGCTGTCATCATAGCTCACCGCAACCTCAAATTCCTGAGCTCAAGAGATCCTCCTGCCTTAGCCTCCCAAGTAGCTAAAGGCCTGCTCTTCCATATCATGCCTGGCTAATTTTTCCATTTTGGGGGTTCTTGCTAATGTTGCATAGAGTGGTCTGGAACTCCTGACCCCAAGCCACCCTCCCACTGGTCTCCCAAAATGTAAAGAAAAATTTTAAACCTACATTTCAACCAATTTGTCTCTGTAAGAAGTGAGTGAAATCTTCCCTAACTCCTACACCAAGAGACCTAATAAATTCCTAAGATACTATTCTTTATGGGCTACAGGGTCAAACAATTTGAGAAATATTTACAAAGACATGTTCTTTTCAGTGAGTGGGATATATTAACCTACAATTCTTAAAAAAAAAAAAAAAAAAAAAAAGCCAGTATCATTCACTATTCGGTATTTTGTAAGCCCTGAATTCTAAGTGGAAAAATTATCTCTTTCACAAAAGCGGGGGGTGGGGCGCAGAAAATAGCTCCCAGTTGTTTCCTTAATTTTCTGTTGCAATTACACAACTTACAAATGTATTCATGTCTAATCAAGGTTATGAGGCACTTCTTGCTGTCCCTTATTCTTGCATAGGTTAGGTCTTTCAGCAACAGTCAGAACTCTTAGACATCACAAAAGGTAGACAAAGCTCTTTCTACCCCAGGCGAGAGCCCGAGAGCAGCCTGTTGCTAACCTAGCAAGCTCACATTAGCAGGCGCTCCATAAAACGAAACTAACCTTAAGAGGGGGCCTATAATCTGACGCAATCGCAGTATGACCTACAGATTTGGAGCCCAGGGCCTTACTGCCTTCCCTGCTACAATCCCTTAGCAGACGACTGCCTTCTTTGATAAGATTTATTTTCTAAAAGGGGGTTGCTGACCTGGAAAGTTATGATGGAGTTGTATGTGGATGAGGAGAACCGAGTGGGAATGGATGGATGAAAAATGATGGAAACAACTCCTATTCTCCTATCCCCGGACCCGAAATATCGAGGGTTAAATGCTAGTCTTAACAAGTAAGACTGTCTATGCTCCTGAACACAGGGGTCCTTGCGGGGCCGGTCTCCCGGACCGCTGGGGCTCCAGGGGGTTTCCCGAGCCCTCTCGCGTCCCACCTGCCGAGATAATGACTTTCTCCTCGGGGCCGCTGCCTACTCTTGCACTTGTTTTCCCCCATGCTCCCGGGAAGGGTAAACGGGGGGTAGGGAAAAGCAGAGAAGGAGCTTTCTGCCCCGGCTAGAAATGCAGCTGCATCCCAGCCCCAAACCGGGCTCCCTCCCTCGCCGTCTCCGCGGTCCTGGGAAAACCCCCTGAAGAACTTCCTGGAAGCGCCACGAAGGCGCGCTCCAGGGCGCACACCTGGCCCGACCTTGAGCCCCAGTACAGCCTGGGCCCCGGCCCCGACGGGCTGACCCCGGCTGTACCGAGACCGAGACCCCGGCCCCCGCGGGCCCCAGACGGTCAGTACCTGCCCGAGTCCGCGTCGGGCTCGGTTGCGCGTTCTTACGCGCCTTCTTCACGGGCATCTTGGCAAGTGCCACCGCGAGCTCTGATGCGGACCCCGGGGTCTCAGGCTCCCAACCCGAGCACCTCGGGCGTCTGCGGGATGCGTGCTGCACGCGGGCAGAGAGGCGGGACCGGGACACGACACGCACGGAGCGGCCAAGTGCACCAGATCGCTCCGCGGGAACTGCTAAAGTCCCGGCGTCTCAGCCCGCGCTCTGTTTTTATGGGGAACTTCCCGGTGACGTAGAGGAAACTTGACGCCGGGCCCGCCCCGTCCCCGCCCCGTCCCCGCCCCCTCCGGGCAGCTCGCGCGGGACCCGAGCCAGCGGGGGGAATCCCCGCCGAGCGCGACCGCCCGGCCACGCTCCCGACCCGCGGTGGCGCCGGCCCGCGGCGGGGGGCGCAGGGCGCTCGGCGGGCGAGACCCTGCTCAGTCCGAAATTACTTCCTAAAAAAACGGGGTGGGAGGAGAAGGGGTTGGGACGTCGAGTCCGCCGCAGTGGTGGCGGGGCCTAGGAGTGGCGAGAGGGGTAGGGTTTTCCCAGGACGAAAGTGGGGGGTGGGGAGCCACCGGGCGCCTCGCCCTTATCATAAATTGGCAATTAGAGACTTCTGTAAACAAGCCCGGAAAGAGTCCCGAGAAGAAAACTTTCCGAACTTGGAGAGGAGTATGGGTAGCTCCAGGAAGTGAAATGAAGAGAACTTTAATAATAGTAGAGGAGATGCCAGAGGCCATGTGAGACAGTACCAGGTCCGAGAACAGATTGAAACGTCGGAACTGTTGGGAGGTTCCCGCAAACTGAAACCCTGGTGCTAAGCAGGAGAGCGTTGTGTTGGAGCTAGAAAGGGTGTGTGTGTGTGGGGGTGTGTGTGTGTGTGTGTGTGTGTGTGTGTTTTAGGTGATGGCAGAGGGAGGAGGCTGGTTAGCATATTCTCTCCAGATATGCGATATTGCTCACTCTGGATGTTTAGTAACACAAAACGGCTGGATCATTATTACAGAAAACGTTCATATCTTTTGTAGGAGGGATTGAGCTATCTGGGAACATTTAATTATTTGCACAATGTTTAGTGGAGCCTAGAATAATTGTAGTATTACGAGGAGGAGTAATTAGGAATAGTTAGCAGGGATTGAGGCCCACTTCACGCGAAGGGCTTTAGCTTGCACCTTCTCATTCTTTTCTGAAAACAACCCTTGCAAGCTGGCATTCTTAATCATCGTGGCCACTTTACAGGTGCAAAAACTGAGGTTTATAGAGATTAAGTAAATTATCCAAGTTCACATAGGCAGAGAGCAGTTCTCTATCTGAACTCACACGCAGTCCCACAGGGAGCAAGAGCTCTTACCTGCTATAGCCTTCCCAGCAATCACAATTTCTTAGAAATGTGTATTCCTATATTATTTGTGCTGTTTAATGCAGAGATTGTAAATTGGCTGCTTATAGCTGCATGGGCTCCCTAGCAGTGTTTGGCTTTGTTCACACTATTGGTCTACAAAAACGTCTTGTGAACATTTAAATTGATTACCAACATTTAAAAATTGAGAGATTGCATTAAAAGCGGAGATTCTGACATCTCTTGGAAAATCAGAAGCTCTGACAACCTGGGATCCATTTTCCAAAAGTGCAGAGTAGGCTGGAAGTGTGGTCCAAGCCACCCGCTTTAGAGGAAACTCAGGTGCTTCTGCTCACCAACACTCCCTGCTGTTTGCTTTTCTCATTTACATTATCTGGCCACAGTAGGCATTTGAGCTTGTTTATTTATCTTAAACCATTCAATCAACACAAACCAGCAAATATTTATTTATGGCTTGGTCCTGCTGAAGGTATAGACAATGCTACAAGCATGGAACAAAACTGCTTTTCAGCTAAACCACATAGTTTTAGGGCTGACGTTTGGTGTTTTTGAGTGTGGTAAATTCATAAGGGTAAGAGAGAACAGAATTCAGTTCTCACCGTGTAAGGCAGGAAGCACGGTGGAGACGCTGCCTTGAAATCTATTAAATCCAACCTGGTAACTGAGAGCCATTGTAGCCCTTTTCACACTCATTTTGACATAATACATACAGGACACCGTTAACTACCTGATTGCATAAATCAGTAAACTTCTGTTGAAATCAGGCACCCTGAAATGCAACAAATATACTCAACAAAAGAAAAGCCAGTCATGATATTGTTTACCTACAAAAGGTATGTTAATCCTGTCCTCGAACATTATCATTATAAAGGGTTGTTGATCTCCAGATCCGTAGTGAAAACAAACTTTAGGCTACTGGACCTTTTAGGCAATTGCAAATTCAGCTTGCAAAAAAGAAAAAGGAGGAGAGTGGTGGTGGGAGGTGGGCCTCGGAAATGGGTCAAAATCAGCTGCATTGTGAAGGACTGTTTAAGATTTTGAATTTGAGATGGTCTATAAACTCTTTTTTAGATTTAACATTTTATTAAGAGAATAGAATGAGAGAACCCTCTCTTAACTGTATATCTCTCTGGAACAGGGATGTAACATTTAATGTTGGGCTTGCAACAAATGTAAAAACGGGGATATTTTTGCCAAACAAAATAATGAATAAAGATTTATCATGAAGCATTAGAGTCCCCTACTCTCTGTTTAAAAAAAAAAAAAATAGGACCGGTAAAAAGGACAATTTTTAAAAAGATTACCAGATTATCCTTTTTCATGAAACAAGTTCAAAAATGATAGCACAATTCTGGCCACGTCTATGTTGTTACATAGAATGTTAAATATATATGCATATATATAAAAAAACACCACAACAAACACGATTAGTAATAGAACAGTCGTTCATATGTTTCATGCGGAAAATAGGATTTGACAGCTAAACAAGAGTATATGAGATATGAATGAGGCAGTCTGGGATGAAATGTACAGGCCATAGACCTGATTCTGTTTATTCTAACAAGGCAACCTGTTTTTCCCTGTATAGCATGTTTGTTAACAGGAAATTAGCCAGACGATTTGATCAATTAAATCTTTCTTTAAGACAAACAGCGTGGGAGGCTCCCTGCCCCCATTAGCCCTGGGGTGGAGACTCTAACACCTCTCAAATTCCATGTGCACTTGAGTATCTCATTCAAATGCACTTCTGCTTCTGGAACTTTCCTTAGGCCTGAAAAGTCTGCATCTTTAATAAAACTCTGGTGATGCTGATACTTATAGTCTGTGGACAGTTTTGGCCAACCGAAGAGGCTAACGGGAAGAAGGATGTTCCAGGCAGACACGGAACAGCAGTGTGAGGCTGGGAGTGGCAAGGGTTGAGTGGGGAGAGAAGCCACTGGAGGAATTAGAATATTATTGTAGGGCCTTGTGGAAATCGCTAAGGTTTTAAACAGGTGGGTGATCTGATCAGATGCTAGAAAGCTCACTCTAGCCAAGTGTGACTAGATTAATTGATCTGAGACCTGAGATAGTGTGACTTGTGAAAATATTATGGTAATTATCATACAAGATGATAGTGTCAGCAAAGACAGTCCCTGTTTCAAACCATCTTACTAAAATTCCCATGTCTTCTGACTAGAGTAGAACTATATTCTGTTAGAGCATGTCTTAATTGTTTTTCAGCATAATTTTCATTGACATTTTATCCTATACTAACTTCCGAGAGTTGTTGTTGCCAAGTACCACAAACTAGGTGGTTTAAAACAATAGAAATGTATTCTTTCACAGGTCTGGAGACCCGAAATTTGAAACCAAGGTGTCCTCTGGGCCATGCTCATTCTGAATCCTCTAGGGGAGGAGTTTTTCCCTGCCTCTCCTGGCTCCTGGTGGTTGCCTTCAATCCCTGGGGTTCCTTGGCTAGTAGATGTGTTCCTGCGCTCTCTCCTTCCATCTTCCCATGGACTTCTCCCCCATGCACCTGTGTCCAAATTTCCCTCTTATTAAAACATCAGGCCTTGGATTAGGGCTCACCCCAAGCCAGTATAACCTTATTTTAACTTGATTACATCTGCAAAGACCCTATTTCCAAATGAGGTCATGGTCATAAAGGGAGGGGGTTCCTGGGACTTCAGCATATCTTTGGGGGGACACAATTCCACTCATAACATCTCCCTTTATCATTTGCTTTTAAACATTTTTTAAGAAATATTTTACGTATACTTTTTAAATTCTATTTGTAATTTTACAAACCATAAGGCCCTTAGTAAACTTAACAACAGATTTAAAACAGCCTGAAATAAATCTCAAGAGCAATGTGGACAAGAAATAAGATGACTTCTGCGGGATCAGATGTAGAACATCTGTCAGCCAAGAAAGAAGGGTGTCCTACACATTCTTAGTTGCAGATTGTGCTGTGACCCCAGCCGCCACCCTCACTAGGCTTCCCACGCACAAGGCCAAGCACGTTTCCAATAGGTGATTTGAAGGAGCTTGAAAGTAAAGTTAATTTCTGTTAGCACAACATATAAGCATGTTATAAGATATGGGAAACAGAGGGAAAAAAATTTAAACCTCCTTTAATCTCAGCACCTTAACACAACCATTATAAGAATTTTGGTGTATAGACTTCCAGCCTTATTTTCAGTTAATGTTTCTAAAAATCATAATTGCATGCAGTATATATAAAATTCTGTATACTGTTTCTCACTTAACATTATGTCAAAAACAATTTGCCTGTCTTCATGACCATCATATTTCTTGCTACTCAATAGTGTGACCAAGTGGACAGCTCACAATTTACCCAGCCACTCCCCTGTTAGTAGAACTTTGGGATTTGTCTCTTTCTCTTCTCTCCTCCCCTACCTCTCTTCTCTTTATTATTTGCAAATTAATTTCAGTTTAACTCCTTTTGAAATCCAGATACTACTTAGTTGTATTTATGCTTCTGATGTGAGGGAGGAATAAAAGTACTAAAAGGTTCACCTCCTGGTGCTGTCTCTGTCTTGCTTTTCATTGCTTTTCTTACTTTTCCCATTGGATAATTTGCTACATTCAGCACCTGAAGTCTCTATTCTTCATTTTATTCTCCCTTGTTACTCATTTTTCCCTGGTTTTCCCTAATTTTTCTGGATGCTCACAGTTAATGACTATTGAGCATGTTTGTGCTTTTTCCTTTTTTTCCTTTTCTTTATTTTTTTTTTCTTTTTACTGCAAAGATTTCAGAAGAGAAATAGGCAGAAGCATTTCAAAACCTGCCCGTGAGCC